TTTTTAGCCAACGACTGGCGTAGCGACGGGCTGGTCGGGCTTTGAGGAAGCCAAGAGGCTTTTCGGAGCCCCCCCCTGCCCGCGAAGAATCCAGGCCTCCCAACCTGGGTCAGATTACATGGTGTCGAGGGGATCGCGCCGTGTCGCCAGTGCATCGGCGATGCGGCGCGATTTGGGGTCCTATTTCATCCGTCCCGACGTCGCTGCTACGTCGGCGATGCAACGGCGACCCTCCGACCCCATCTACTGTGGCCCTATTCGTGAGGCCTCCAGAAAAAGGTTTACCGCGAGAGTGCAGCCGTATCCAGTGCCTCGGGGACGTGCGCCCGGGTCTCCAGGACCCCTCGAGGAGTGGTGGGATGTGGATGTCTGCCCGCCTCATGGGGGCGGGAATGCATCCATACCCACCTTGACCTAGGGACCCGTGCAGGACAGCGGCTGTGGACGTGGATGCCTCCTGTGGGGCCCGTGCGGCTGTGGATGTGGACGCTTCCCTGGCTGTGCGGAGGCCTTCTCAGAAGCCCCCTGGGCATTCTCGGGGGAGCCCCCCTATGGCCCCTTCTCGGAGGCCGCCCCCACCCCCCCCCCTCTCCGCCTCCTCGGGTCAGACAGGAGGAGGAGGAGGCGGAGGAGGAGGAGGAGAGGGAGGAGCAGGAGGAGGAGGAGGAGGAGAAAGAGGAGGAGAAAGAGGAGGAGGAGGGATACTAATATCATGAAGACACATACTTGTAATCAGACCAGTAACACGAATAGTACTAATCATACTAGCATGAGTAATATAACTAGCTAGACTAAGCACCTGCACTTTACTAAGGAAGACTAAGAGTAATATTAATGATACCAATACTAAGACTACTAAGTAGCAGTAATAGAAATGATACACAAATCACTCAGAACAGAAGCAAACATATGACAACCATGATACGACAACCAATATGTCATACTACGAATCATAATAAGACGAATAATGCTACGCACTAATAGTACTAATCGTACGCGTAATGAAACATGGTGGTAACAAGAAGAGTATGCCTTATAATGCTTAGAACGCTAGTAAGAGTGTACATCATACAACTAATCATCACAACAGTATTCATACTACTCGTTATAATAATGCTACTACTATCACGAATACTAATAAGATACGTGATGGTCAGACGAAGACTGTCACGAATAGTCACAACAATAATAATAGCAAAACTAATAATAAGAAAACGGAGGAGGTGGGCGAAAGGGTGGTTGGGAACGGGGCTGGTGCTAACTTTGCTGCACATGCAGCTGGTCACGGCCCTGCCGCCGGGCGCTTTCCCAGACGTGTTGGCGCCTCCAGCGCCCCGGGGGGTGCCTGGAAGACCAGCTGCGTCAGCTGATCCTGTGCCGTTTTTTCTCAGTGCAGGGTCTCAGGATCGGGGAAACGTAAAACTCGAGTACCCTGGAACTCGGGTTTGCTGATACAATTTGACGAGCGCGTCCTGGATTTTGACAGTCCAGTGTTCGTGGGATGTTGGGTGCTCGCGTCAAATTTCTGAGTGGGTCTCGTCATTTTTTCATGATGGCCCTGTCAGGCCAACCCGAGTTCCCCGCACCCGAGTCTAACGTCTGCCCGACAGGAAGTCCCGACCCTTTCCCCAGGGCCAGCTCTTGGCCCCGAGCCTTTCTTGTGACAGGGTTCCCCAGGGGCCCAGAACGGAGAAGAGCTCCGAGCCGGGGACTTGTTGTCCATAACCACCGCCTGGGGGATCGATCTTCGGGGACCTGGGCCGGCGTTGGATATGGATGCATTCGGGTCCTGGGGGGGGGCCACCTGTACCCATATCCACTTCCTGCCGAGAACCCCGGAGATCGGACCGCTCCCGTAGGGGGTGGTTATGGCTACAATCCAGCCGCGCAAGTACATGTGCGTTGAACTGTTCAATGCGCTGGATGTCTGGGCCTTGTGCCCCCCCCCCCTTCCCGGCGCCGCGCGCGCGCGCCCCCGTGCGCGCGCCCCTGGGGGCCCAGGGCTTGGCGAGGCGGGTTGGAGCCAGGACGGCGGCGGCGGCGGCGGCGGCTCCCTTCTCTCCGTGCTGCTTCCCTGCGGCTCCCTGCGTGCCCTCCGCCGCCTCGTCGGTGCGCGCCGCCGAAGGAGCGAGCCCTGCCGCGAGCCCGCGCCCGGCGGGAGCGGCAGCGGCGGCGAGGAGGCGCTGGAGCTCCTCTGGGCCTGCAGGCCCCCTGGGGGGGGCGGCGGCAGAGCGCAGGGCACCGTCGCTGGGTGCAGGAGGATGCCGAAGAAGAGGAGGAGGAGGAGGAGGAGGAGGAGGAGGAGGAGGAGGAGGAGGAGGAGGAGGAGGAGGAGGGGGGAGGAGGAGGAGGGGAGGCGGAGGCGGAGGCGGCGGAAGGAGGAGGAGGAGGAGGAGGAGGAGGAGGAGGAGGAGGAGGAGGAGGAGGAGGAGGAGGAGGAGGAGGATAAGAGGAGGACAAGAGGAGGACAAGAGGAGGACAAGAGGAGGACAAGAGGAGGAGGAGGAGAGGAGGAGGAGGAGGAGGAGGAGGAGGAGGAGGAGGAGGAGGAGGAGGAGGAGGAGGAGGAGGAGGAGGAGGAGGTCCGTAGCCATTTTGGCTCAAGGTCCGTGTCATCGGCTCAGGGACCTTCACTTTTTGGCCCTGGGGGGATCGCGGCTCCAACCGTTCACTGCAGCTTCTCTGGGAGTGTACTCTCCAGGGTCTGCTGTACACTTTGCCCGTGTGGCCGATGACCGGCCATGGTGGCCATCCCGCCAATTCTGAGACCTGGCAGTGCGGCAACAAGAGGTGCGGATATCGTTTCAATGTACTCTCCCGAGCCCACTGCCGTCGGTGCGGACGCTCTGCGCCTCGGGGGCCCGCGCCCGCCGCTGACGGACGTCAGCTCGGGGCGGGGCCTGGGTCAGGGGCTGCGGCTCGGCCACGCGCAGAGGGGGGTAAGGGGAGGGGGGAAGGCTTCTTAGAAGCACCCCTGCTTCTCAGAAGGCGCGGTCCTTATGTATAGATGTAAGGCCGCCGCCTTCTAAGAAGCAGCCTCCTTCTACTAAGAAGCCTTCCCCCCTCCCTCCACCCCCTGCGCGCCGCCAAGCGGCTCGCAGGCTGGAGGGGGCACTTAAGCGGTCAGGGAGCGGGCAGGCGCCCCCCTGGCTGAAGCATGCCATGCGGCGGCGAAGCTCTCGGATGCGACGGGGGACTCCGCGCGGCGAGTGGAGGAGAGGCTGCCCAGCTTCCCCCTTGGCTTCAGTCGGGCCTGTCCCCCTACAGGAGAACTGTTCAAAAATGGGCAGAAACAATTCTTAAGTTATTCTAGACTACTTCTGTTTTTTTGAGTATTTGTGAATGCTTCTTGATTTTAGTTTGAGTGCACTTGTTGAGTATATCTGACTCTTTTGGAGTACTTTCTAAAGCCGTTTTTTGTTTTTTCGCCTCGAATCCGCCGGTAGGAGGACGTGCCCGACCCGACCCCGGGCCGCCGCCCCCCGCCGCCGCCGCCCTGCGCCGCGCCCCGCGGGCGAGCGGCCGCGGAGGAGGCGCCGGGGCGGCGGCCGCGCGCCGAGAGCTGCCGCGGGCTCGTCGCGGGGGGGCGGCGTGGCCTCCCACATAGGGGGCCACGTGCGAGCCCTACCCCTACCCCCCACGATTTCTGAGGGGGAGGGTAGGGTTCACTTCGCTCGGGAGCTCCCGAACGAAGTGAACCCCACCCTCCCCCTCAGAAATCGTGGGGGGCAGGGGTAGGGCTCGCATGTGGCACCCTATTACAGGCCCACGCAGGGTGGCCCAGGCCCTCCACAGCTGGCGCTGAGGTCCCCTCTCCTCCGACGGCGCAGCTTTTTCGCGACGTGGGCCCCCCCAGGGACTCTGGCGACGAGTCCAATGGAACGTTTCTCAAAAACCGTAGGTGCAGTTCAGCAGCGCTGTCGTCCTCGGCGGGCTCCAGCCGAAGCCAAGATGGGCTGCGGCATGGATCTGTTACTGGGTGTAGACGCGATGGTGTCAGGAAGAGGTCGGGGCCCCCAGGGACCCCGACCTCCTCCCGGGCAGCGGGCTCGCATCCCGAGAGGCCTCTGGCGATCGATTGGGGCCCGGAGGCGGCCTCCAGACGCCGAGCACCTCCAGAAGCCGACCGTCGCGATTGCGTCGCCTGGATCTGAGGGTTGCCCCAGAGGCTCCCTCCGCGCCCTGCCCCATGCTGTGAGGAAGCATAACCAAGAAATTGACGACATGTCCAAAGATATGAGTGAAAGGTTAGAATCATTTTACCACACAAGTCCGTAACTCATTTTGAACAACCCCCCCCCAGGGGCGTTTCGGGTATGGCCAGGACCCCGGGTAAGGGGACCCGGCTAGTGGTAGGGCCCTGGAGCCTTTGAAGTGGCCAGGATCGCCAAACCAGGTTTGCCATGGCCGGTGCTTTTTCGGGTGACAGCAGTTCGGTCAGTGGCAATGGGACGGGGGGGCGCCCCCGGTACAGATCACCAAGCCAGGTTCCACTAAACCCAGCTCTACCAACGCCCGATCCTACAGTGGGCGAAAAACGGAACATATGCAGCAAATATTCGAACATAGTCAAACATTTAGTCAAAACATCGTCCCCAGACTAAGTTTTTGATCATTTTTGTTGGAATCTTCCTCCTGTAGAGGGACAGGCCTGACTCAATCGTAAACGATGGAGAGGATAGCACAGGACGTAGCTACGAATACCTTCCGAGCAGTGAAGGAAGGGGAGGGGAAGGAAGGGAAGGAGAAGATGGGGAGAGGAGGTAAGGGGAGGAAATGGGGAGAGGGAGGGGAGGAGACAGGTCCGACTTGAGACTCGTCGCGAGGGGCGGCGTGACCTCTGTCTCTCTCTCGTGAGCTGTTCGCCGGGGCCGAGCGCATTGCCGCTGGTCTTCAGTCGGGCAAGTCCTGCTACAGAAGGAACATACACATACATATATATATATATATATATATATATATATATACACATGTTTATATATATATATATATATTTATACACATACAAACAGTCCAAATAGTCAGGGTACGATTTTCGATGATTTTTGATTATGTTAGTGTATTTTTCGAACCATTTTCTGTTGTTCGCCCAAGATCCGCCTGTAGGAGGACATGCCCGACCTAATGCTGGTCTTCGGCGTGCCGGGGGCGCCGTCGTGACGCCTGATATCGCGGACCGTCCTCTGCAGGGCGCCGCGTTGAGACGTGCAGCAGGCTGTTCTAGCTCGGACCCAGCTGGGCCTGATCAACGGCGTTTGGCCTGGGACTCCGCGTTCTTCGGGAGCGCTGCTCGACGAGGGCAGCCGGGTCGCCCTGGAGGCCCTCTTCGGTCTAAGCATCGCATCAGTGGACATCCTGAGACGCTCCAGGGGCCTGCTGATAAAGAAGTATTCCGCATCGGCAGTAGCGCCGCAAAGTTCGCAGTCGCCGTTCTGAGAGCTCGAGCCGGCCACGACGTTCCTTTCATTTTCGAGAACCACAGTGGGTCTTTGTTGTGGCCTGTCCTCGGCATCGGCTCTCTCCATGAAAAACGATATAACTTTCACGTCACTCTTGATTCGGGGAAACGTAAGTGCCGATTTTTTTTGACGAGCGCGTCCTGGATTTTGACGGTCCCGTTTTCGTGGGATGTCTGCAGCGGGAGCCCGCGTCAGATTTCAGACTGGGTCTCGTCATTTTCGTGATGGCCCCGTCAGGCCAACCCGAGTCCCCCGCACCCGAGTCTTACGTTTCTCCGATTATTGCCAGTTCGGCGCTGTCTCAAAAGCGCACTCGTCTGCAGGGCTAGCGCGTTGGCACGTTGCTCTCATTGCGCCGTCTTCGTTTGTGGGAGGCGCGGCATGTGCTCTCGGACTGGCTGCCGGCGCCAGATCCTCGAGGGCTCCAAGCTGACGCGCTCCGCCGCCGCACAGTTCGCCCAGCAAGCCTCGCATATTCCTGTGTGCACAAATCAAGCCTTGAGAAAGTGAGGGCCCTGACTCATCCTGAACAGCGGCCTTCGGCCAGGTCACACTATGCGTGTTGATGAAGCTGTTCCTCCCCTTGCATGGTGGCCCAGTTCGCGTACCGTTTGCCACGTTGTGCCTCTTCCGCCAGCGCAGTCATTCTGCCTAGCCGCCAACGCAAAAAAGTGTTGAGGAAGTTGCGCTCTGCAGTTCAAGTCTTCCCGCATGCCCAGGTCAGTGTATGCATCCTGCGTTTTGTCCTTCATCGGCAGGCTATCAAGGCCTGGCATCACGCAGCAAGAGACGTGTGTCCAGGAGCCCTGGCTAGCCGTACGGGGGACGAGACGGAAGAGGAGGGAGGGGTGAGCGCTCGTCGAGGGAGGAGAGGGATGGGAGGGAGGAGGGAGGGAGGAGGGAGAGGGAGGGAGGAGGGAGAGGGAGGGGAGGGGGAGGGAGGAGGGAGGAGGGGAGGGGGAGGGGGAGGGAGGAGGGAGAGGGAGTGGAAGGGATGGGGGGGACCCCCCCGCGCACCCGTCGAGGCGGGTGCATGCGGAGCACCAGCGCGCCGCGGGCGAGCAGTTCGACCGCTTGGAGGCGCTGCTGGCGGGCCGCGAGGCGCGGCGCGGATCTCAAGCAGCGGTGAGCACTCCCTTGGCGGGAGGAGCGACGGGGGGATGTTGCCCCCGTTCCTCCTCCTCTTCCTCCTCCTCCTCCTCCTCCTCCTCCTCCTCCTCCTCCTCCTCCTCCTCCTCCTCCTCCCCCCTCGTCTCTCTGTTACCGCTCTTCCCCTCTTCCATGACCTCCCTCCTCCCTCCCTCCCTCGTCGCCTTGCCCTTCCTCCCTCCCCTCCTTCCTCCTCCCGTGCCTTCCCCCCGCCCTCCCTCCCTTCCCGCCCCCCCCCTTCCCGCCCCTCCTCACCCCGCTTCCCTCCCTGCTCGTCCTATCCCCCATCGCTCGTGCTCCTCCTCGCGGCCTCCTGCTCCTCCTGGCTCCTGCTCCTCCTCCTCCTGCTCCGGCTCCTCGCCCCTCCTTCTCTTGCTCCTCTTCTTCCTCCTCCTCCCTTGTCGAGTCCCCCGTCCGCCTTCTCGCCCGCCGCGGGCACACCAACATATAGCAACAACGGTGCAAGACGGGTTGGCGGAATTAAGCGCAGCGATCCGCTGCCCCACCAGGTACGGCGTGTGATATCCGCAGCGTGGTTTTCAAGAATGTCTGCCGTATGTCTTGCGCCTTTCCCTCTTGTGTCCCTCCCGAGGATCGAGGTTCAGGGATCGACGGAACGATGTTTCTGCACGTTTTTTTTGTTGTCTCTCCACGTCGAGCGTCTGGAGTCTGGAGTCTTCGGGAGGCCTGTGGAGGGGGACCTCCGCGGACCCACTGGGATCCAGGAGGAGGTCTGGGGTTCGAAGGCCGAGGTTGTTGGATGTTTCTCGCTCTCTTCGGGCCTCTGGGAGTTCTTTAGCCGACGCGGCTGGACTCGCTTCGCAACGTTGGTTAAAACGCACCAAGGGAATTGTCTCGGGGCTTCTTTTTGAGGGATTTTTGCTGCTGCTGATGATGGTGTTGGTGGTGGTGATGATGATAATGATGATGATGATGATGATGATGATGATGGTGATGATGATGATGCTGATGATGATGATGCTGATGATGATGCTGCTGCTGATGATGATGACGATGATGATGAAGATGAAGATGAAGATGATGACGATGATGATGATGATGATGATGATGATGATGATGATGATGATGATGATGATGCTGATGCTGCTGATGATGATGATGATGATGATGCTGCTGCTGCTGCTGATGATGATGATGATGATGATGATGATGATGATGATGATGATGATGATGATGATGATGATGATGATGATGATGATGATGATGATGATGATGATGATGATGATGATGATGATGATGATGATGATGATGATGATGATGATGATGATGATGATGATGATGATGATGATGATGATGATGATGATGATGATGATGATGATGATGATGATGATGATGATGATGATGATGATGATGATGATGATGATGATGATGCTGCTGATGATGATGATGATGATGATGATGATGATGATGATGATGATGAGGGAGTTGCGTCGATACAGGACCTCATCCCAGCATGTCTGACCTCCCTTCCTACGCTAGCTACAGTGAGTTGCCATTTTGGCCAGTCTGTAGGGGAGTGCCCTGACATTCCCACTGGGCTACCGACCCCACATAGCTTAGCCTGCAGTACCTCTTCTCCTGGGCTTGCAGATCCTCCTTACTTCCTCCTACTTCCTCCCGTCAGCAGGCAGAGGGACCAGCGACCATGAGGGCACTACTCTTGATCCTTTTCATCTTCACACTGCTGCCTGCGCTCACCACTCTACTTAGGGTCGGACGGTTCCGTAAGACTGCACAACCTTTGTCTAGAATGCCACGCTTGTTAGCATCACACTCGCATCTGCAGCCTCCCAGCGGCATGAGACATGCAGGTGTGCCTCCTGTCCTTACTTACCTACCTCCCGTTGCTCCTTGCGTCTCCTCGCGCCTTGTCCAGGCATCGTTCCAGCCAAGTATCGAAGTACTCAAGCGCTGCAGCCTGCAATCAGCCTGGAGGACAGCCGCTCAGGCCCGCCTCCACTACCCACGCTTGACCCTTTTGGCGGCCAGCCTGTATCCACAAGTCGGGGTGATGCGGGTTCGTTACCACCGAGATGGGGGGATGGAGGAGAGACGCTGTTGTCTACCAGCAGCCTCTTGGCCCAGTCCTGAGCAGCAAGACTGCACATGCCTTCGGACCACGCGCCAGGTTTTTTTTTCAGCATCCTGCTCACAACCGCAGCCTTTCCATGGCATGAGGCATCATCTACGCCTCCTGTCCTCACTTTTCTTTCTCTACGTGCTCCTCCCACTTCCTCCAGCATCCGGCTTCCGACTCCAGCATCCGGCTTCCGACTCTCCACTTCCACCTGCACCACTTGACCTCCAGCGTCAACCAGTTGACAATTCAGCACCCCGACTTCGGTAAACAAGGACTACAAGCACTGAGGGCCCGGCCCCCCCGCGCAGGCCCTAAAGTGCCCCGCTCCGGCGGAACAGCGCGCTCGCCTCGCCTCGCCTCCCACCTCCCTCTTTTCGGGACCCCCCCAGCAAGCTCTTTCTCGCACCTCCAGTTTCTTGTCTCGCCCTACTGTGCTACCTTTCGACAAGACCTGCGCTACAGGCCAGCCTTTAGGCCAGCCTTCATACCATAGTCTTTGCTACTCATGGAGGTTCTAGGGGGTGAGCCTCCTCCTCCCCCCCCCTCCATTCCTTCTCCCTGAGAAGTACCCTGTCGCACCCCGAGATGCGTCGGTGGGTGGGCCGGGCGTTTTGCCGGAGCTTCCCTCATAATTCATGTTGTTGGAATCCACAACTTGCCATCGTTTCACGGATGGAGGGCGTGCCTTTGCCAAAATGTGGATATCACCGTGGCGCCGCGCACATACGTCTTGAATAATCGAAGCAGTTTCACGGATGGGAGGCGGGTTGTTTTCAAAATGTGGTTTTCGCTTTAGCGCGGCGCACATTCGTCTGTAAAGTTGGCAAGAGTTGCATAGATGGAGGGCGGTTGGTTTTCAAACTGTGATTTTCGCCTTTGCGCCGTGCGCATTCGGCTCAACTGTTTGCAATCACATTATGGATAGAGGGCGGATGGTTTTTTGAATGTGACTTTCGCGTTGGCGCCTCGCCCGCAACTTTGTGAGGGATTCACGGGTTGAGGGCGGATGGTTAACACAAGTGTGGCTTTCGCCTTCGCGCCCTAGTTTCACGGATGGAGGGCGGTTCGTTTTCAAAATGTGGCTTCCGCTTTAGCGCCACGCACTTTCGTGTTGAACGTTCGCAAGGGTTTCTTTCAATCACGGATGGAGGGCGTGTGTTTTTGGAATGTGGCTCTCGCATTAGCACCGCGCAGATTCGGCTTAACAGTTTGTTGTGCCAGAATGTCACGGATGGAGGGCGGATGGTTTTCAGAATTTGGCAGTCGCTTTAGCCCCGCGCGCAGTCGATTGAAAAGTTTACGACGAGTTAGCGGATTTTCATGGTTGACCTTAGGAAGGATGTTTGGGCGCGGAAAGGGATTGTCAGGGCGCAGACGTCGTGTTGATTCGCTGTTCCAGGAACGATGTTCTGGCACAGTGCAGGATCGCCAGGACGCAAAGTAAAGTGTTTTCGAAGTCGAAGGAGTGGTGTTTTGGCACTGTTGAGGATTCTCAGACGGTTGTCTTCCAACGGGGCACCAGCAGTGACAGTATATTCCTGACCGGATCCAGGAAGAGTGCACTTCGAGGAAGGGTGTGTGTGTGTGTGTTGCTACATCGCTGATGCGTCTTGGGCTTCCACTGGTTCTCCTCCTCCTCCTCCTTGTCCTCCTCGTCGTCCTCCTCCTCCTCCTCCTGCCTCTGGCATCCTCCTCCTCCTCATCCTCCTCCTCCTCGTCGTCCTCCTCCTCCTCCTCATCCTCCTCCTCCTGCCTCTGGCATCTGCCTCCTCCTCCTCCTCCTCCTCCTCCTCCTCCGCCTCCTCCTCCTCCTCGTCCTCCTCCTCCTCCTCCTCGTCGTCCTCCTCCTCCTCCTCCTCCTCCTGCCTCTGGCATCTGCCTCCTCCTCCTCCTCCTCCTCCTCCTCCTCCTTCTCCTCCTCCTCTCCTCCTCCTCGTCCTCCTCCTCCTCCTCCTCGTCCCTCCTCCCCTCCTCTCCTCCTGCCTCCCTCCTCCCTCCTCCTCCTCCTCCTCCTCCGCCTCCTCCTCCTCCTCGTCCTCCTCGTGTCCTCCCTCCTCTCCTCCTCCTCGTCCTCCTCCTCCTCCTCCTCCTCCTCCTCCTCCTCCTCCTCTCCTCCTCCTCCTCCTCCTCTCGTCCTCCCCCTCCTCCTGCCTCCTGCCTCTGGCGTCCCGCCCCCCCCCCTTCCCCGGAGGCGCCCGCTCCCGCGGCCGCTCGCCGGCGGCGCGGGCCGCCGCCGCCCGCCGCGGCGGGCGGCGGCGAGACGCCCGCTTCCCCAGGACCTCGAGGGGGGGGGGGGAGGAGGGGGGGGAGGAGGAGAGGAGGAGGAGGAGGGGGGGAGAGGAGGAGAGGAGGAGGAGGGAGGAGGAGGAGAGGAGGAGGAGGAGGAGGAGGAGGAGGAGGGGGGGGGGGAGGAGGAGGAGGGGAGGAGGGAGGAGGAGGAGGAGGAGGAGGAGGAGGAGGATGAGGGGAGGAGAGGAGGAGGAGGAGAGGAGGAGGAGGAGGAGGAGGAGGAGGATGGGGAGGAGGAGGAGGAGAGGAGGAGGAGGAGGAGGAGGAGGAGGAGGAGGAGGAGGCCAGGAGGAGGAGAGGAGGAGGAGGAGGAGGGGGAGGAGGAGGAGGAGGAGGAGGAGGAGGAGGAGGAGGAGGAGGAGGAGGAGGACGAGGAGGAGGAGGAGGATTAGGAGGAGCAAAACACAGACACAATTCATCGTCGACCCCCAGGAAGATATGGGAACCCATGGGAAGTGGGGGGAAGACGAAGACCCAGAAAATATATGGGAAAATATTGGGGATCCTGGGATTTGTGTGTATTTATTGAATCGCTTCGCTCATTCCGCCGGCCCATAGTGTAGCGTCGCTGGCACTTGCTTGCGTGCTCGGGGGGGCATTTGGGTGGCCTCCTGGGGCCGCTTGGGGGCCTCTTGGGGGCCTCCTGAGAGCCTGTTGGGGGCCTCTTGGGGCCTCTTAGGGGCCTCTTGGGGCCTCCTGGGGACTTCTGAGGGCCGAGGGCTCGAAATATTGTTTCGTGTTCCCCCCCTGGGGTTCCTCTTGGGGCGTTCTTGGGGCCCTCTTGGGCCGTCTTGGAGGCCTCTTGGGCCGTCTTGGAGCCCTCTTGGGCCGTCTTGGGGCCCTCTTGGGGGCCTCTTGGGCCCTCTTGGGGCGGTCTTGGGGGCCTCTTGGGCCGTCTTGGGGTGTCGTGAAGCCGAAAAGGTGGAAACGCCAAAATCTCTCCAAAACCTAAGGAAAAGCAGTGAATTTTGCCTCTTGGGGCCCTCTCGGGAGTGCTCTTGGAGGCCTCTTGGGGCGTCTGGGGGCCATCGTGGGCGTCTTGGAGCGATCTTGTGGCATCTCGGACCCCTCATGTAGCATCTTGGGGGCCTCTTGGAAGCCTCTTGGCCCTTCTTGGGGCTCTCGGGGACGTCTCGGATCCGCGTTGGTGCGCTGCTGGAGCGCCCTGGTGACTCCTCCCGGGACTCTCTCGGGACCTTGCCGGGGTACTTTCCGCCCGGGGGCCCCCAGGGGCCGCCCCGCGCGCGCGAAGTAGAAAGATTGTAAAGCAGTCACTGGAGATCTTAGCACGCCTCTGGCCCGTTGGGCCAGCGAATTTGTGTGTCCCTGGGCCCCTTTAGAGGGGGGGCGGGCCTGCCGCCGCCCGCCTGTCAGGGCTGGCGATGGGGGAGTCCCTGGAGGCGCCTGGCGGTCTGAGGTGGACCAGCAGGGGTTCCTGCCAGCAGGACGGGGGACGGGGGGGCGAGGTTCGAGGTTCTGGGCTCGAGGATCTTTTTCCCAACCATCCTGTGGTGTTGGGTCCTCGTTTTGAAGAGACGGTCCCCGCGTTCCTCGTCTTCTCTCCTCCTCCTCCTCCCCCTTCTCCCCCTCCTCCCCTCCCTCCTCCTCCTTCCATGCGTTTCACCCACCCAGCACAGCGTTTCGTGGCCCCATAGGGAGCTCCACCAAAGCCCCCAGTGGGACCGCCCGCATGCGTCCGCCACCACCCAGCACAGCCCTTGCTTCCCGCGTTTCACCCACCCTCCACGGAAGGTCCCAGTGGCACCGCCCGCATGCGTCCGCCACCACCCAACACGGCCCTTGCTCCCTGCGTTTCGCCCACCCAGTACAGCGTTTCGTGGTTTCATAAGGGGGCTCCACCGAAGGTCCCAGTGGCACCCCAAGAGGCGGGTAAAACAGCAACAGGCAGTCGAACCACACACGACCAACATTACCACGTTGGCGAACGCGGTGGCAGATGCGGAGGGTGTTCTCGCTAAAAAGGGGAAGGCGGTCTCGCGGGAGAAAGCTCTCCTAGTCACTTGCTCGGAAAAAGGTCCAGGAAGCCACAAGCCTCACAATGAGCAGTTGACTCTCCCCATGCCAGCGGCACAAGCGGCCCCTGTGGGGGCTACAGGTTCCATGTGGCCCCGGGTAGAGCTGTCAGAGTTGCGCGCAGCCCTCGAGGCTCATTGCATAGGTGGGGATCAGAGCCTTAGGCAAGTTTTCCGTGCTGCTTGTGAATCGTGTCATCGAACACCTCGCTTCCTAGCAGCGACATCAGCAAGTCGCAGCACCAGCGCCAGGAGCCTCTGGGGCCGCAGCCGGGTCGGGGCTCTCACTATGCCCCCCACCCCTGCCAAGGCCTGAGGGCCAAGCTGTGACTACCGTACCGCCAGCCGCACATGCCCCTCAGGTGGCACAGGCTGCGTCGGCGTCGGCGGCCCAGCCCCCAAACGCCAAGCCAACGCCCCAGCCCGTGAAGCTAGACCCAGCCAGCATGCCAGTTGACAAGATCGAGTCAGGCGATTTGGCTAGCACTGCGCCCGAGGCACGCAGCCGTCGCGACGCGGAGGGGCTCGGGAGGAGGGGTGGTGGAACGACAGACAGGCAGGCTGAGGTGAGGGCGGGGAACCGCCAGTCTGGGAGTCACCTGTCTGATTTCTATGTGTTGACACCCTGGGGAAAATGGCTCAGCCAGTATAGTATCTTATTGGTAAGTGGTTGGGATCCGTTGTTTGTCGAACGGGGCTTCCTTTCGTCCTAAGCGCGGACTTTCACGTCGACCTGCCGTTTTCTTTTCGACTGGGTTCCTTCCTGGGCGATGCGGCGGTGAGATATTGCATCCCCAACCATCCCTAGTTTTGTCGCTGGAGATTTGTCTTACACCATCGGCTACTTCATTGCCTCGAGGAGTATACTGCGAATATGGATGCGGGCTTTTTCCCGCGCCGACTTGTTCAGCTCCGCGTGGATATTCGCACGGGGGCCAGACGCGTGCTCAAACGCACTCCGTATTCGAGGATTCCCGCCGAACTCCCTGTTGCCCCCCCTCTCTCTCCCCCCTCGTGCGCTGCAGCAGCTCAGGGGTCGGGGGCGGCCTCAAGCAGTGGCCAGCATTCTGACGGGAACCTTCTTCCCCCCAGGATCCGAGGACCAGGGTCGGATGCTCCAGAAGTTACCTGATGGTGCATACTTTGGACGGACGACCACTGTTTGGGGTGAGCTGCGCGGGGCCTTCGAACATGTTGCAGGCAAGGCCAGTGCGCTGCGGGGAAATTTGCCATGCCAGTTTGATGCCCACCGGGGCAAACAGAAGTGTGTCGTCACCGCGTGCTGTACTTTGTGATGCCAGTTAGTTGAGGGATTTCATCTTTCTCCGCGCTAGGTATCCTAATGCTTGAGACTCCCGCTACTTCGCCTCCCCCTGCCCCGCGCTGTTAGCCCCCCCCCGCGCGCAAGTGGGCCATTCGGGACGTTTTGGTGGGCAGGCGGGGGATTTGGCACGGGCACTTGGCTACGTTGGCCTGTGGGCTGCTGGAGCGCCCCGCAGAATTCTGGCATGGCTTGTCTGCTGATTTGACCTTCTGGAAGGAGCACGTTCGTGCTGGTGCCAAGTGGTTGCCTGCGGCGGCTTCTGTGGATCAGAGAGTTGCTTGGGGCGAGTGGTGCGGAACAGCCTTGTCGGGAGGCGCCAAGTGGGCGCGTGCTTGCACTCGTCCTGCTGCGGATCACTGTTGTTGACACGTGCGTATTCCGTCAAGCCCCAGCGCCAGCACCGATGGTCGAGTTTCCCACCGCGCCTGCGAATGGAGCAGTCCATGGGCGGGCTAATCTCAGCAGCCAGCTCGTCGCTTTTGGCCGCTCTGTGATCTCCCTGTCCCCCCTGCTCAGTGCGCCGAGAACTGATGCGAGCTGTCGAAGGCCTCCCCGAGGGCCGCGATCGCTGCATAAGACTATCATTATGGGGGCGACTCTTACCAGTCCGATGAGGCTTTGCAAACGCTCGGCGACTTGTTCTCGCTGATGAATACCCTGGGTGCCCAACCTGAAGATGTTTCGTTATTCCGAGTTCAAATGTGCCCCGACTCTCGGGAGACCTCAGGCCCATTGGGTTCTTCCAGTCACTGGTCCGTTTGCACTCCAAGACCCTGGCCATTCACAGTCGCCTCCAAGAACCATCTTGGGCACCGAGGAGTTTTGCATGGCTCTCACTGGGCATATCACGGACGGTGTTTGGAGGTTCGTGGTCAAGCCTATTTGAGCATATTCCCAGGAGAGGTCACTTACGCGTCGACGCTGCAGGGTAATCCGCAGCATCCGCACTGCTCTCTGACCTGGGCGGTTCACGCCTTGCTGTGCGTCCCTGGCCCACGGCCTTTGGCACAGGCCGAAGAGGCGCAGGGGTGACGCCTCTCCTGATGACCTTGGTGACCGAGGCCTTCTGGACAGTATATATATATGTATATATATAGATATATTCACACACGCCGACACACACACACACGCCGACAGGGTCGGCGGATGTATATATATATATATATATATACACACATACACACATATATATATATTCCCAGGAGAGGTCTCTTGCGTCAGTCCTGGGCGATCTGCAGCGTTGCCGTGACATGGTGCCGCACGCCGCGCCCGGCAGCGGGGCCGGCCTCGCGGGCTACCCCGTTTTTTTCCCAACCATCCTGTGGTGTTGGGTCCTCGTTTTGAAGAGACGGTGCCCCGCGTTCCTCTCCTCTCCTCTCCTCTCCTCTCCTCTCCTCTCCTCTCCTCTCCTCTCCTCTCCTCTCCTCCCTCTCCTCTCCTCCTCTCCTCTCTTCCACCCCCCAGTACACCGTTTCGTGGCTCCATAGGGAGCTCCACCGAAGGCCCCAGTGCCCGCGCCCGCATGCGTCACCCACACCCATTTCGGCACACCCCTCACACGTTTCGTGGCTCCATAGGGAGCTCCACCGAAGGCCCCAGTGCCCGCGCCCGCATGCGTCACCCACACCCATTTCGGCACACCCCTCACACGTTTCGTGGCTCCATAGGGAGCTCCACCGAAGGCCCCAGTGCCCGCGCCCGCATGCGTCACCCACACCCATTTCGGCACACCCCTCACACGTTTCGTGGCTCCATAGGGAGCTCCACCGAAGGCCCCAGTGCCCGCGCCCGCATGCGTCCCCCCATTTCGGCGCACGTTTCGTGGCGCCCATTTCGACACCCATTTCGGCACACCCCTCACACGTTTCGTGGCTCCATAGGGAGCTCCACCGAAGGCCCCAGTGCCCGCGCCCGCATGCGTCACCCACACCCATTTCGGCACACCCCTCACACGTTTCGTGGCTCCATAGGGAGCTCCACCGAAGGCCCCAGTGCCCGCGCCCGCATGCGTCACCCACACCCATTTCGGCACACCCCTCACACGTTTCGTGGCTCCATAGGGAACTCCACCGAAGGCCCCAGTGCTGCCGCCCGCATGCGTCACCCACATCCAATTCGGCACACCCCTCACACGTTTCGTGGCCCCATAGGAGCTCCGCCGAAGGCCCCAGTGCTGCCGCCTGCATGCGTCACCCACACACAATTCGGCACACCCCTCACACGTTTCGTGGCCCCATAGGGAGCTCCGCCGAAGGCCCCAGTGCTGCCGCCCGCATGCGTCACCCACACCCATTTCGGCACACCCCTCACACGTTTCGTGGCCCCATAGGGAGCTCCACCGAAGGCCCCAGTGCCCGCGCCCGCATGCGTCACCCACACCCATTTCGGCACACCCCTCACACGTTTCGTGGCCCCATAGGGAGCTCCACCGAAGGCCCCAGTGCCCGCGCCCGCATGCGTCACCCACACCCATTTCGGCACACCCCTCACACGTTTCGTGGCCCCATAGGGAGCTCCACCGAAGGCCCCAGTGGCGGCGCTCACATGCGCATGCGTCCCGCACACCCATTTCGGCACATCCCTCACAGGTTTCGTGGCCCCATCATCCACCGGAGGCCCCAGTGGCGGCGCTCACATGCGTCACCCACACCCACCCAATTCGGCACACCCCTCACACGTTTCGTGGCCCCATAGGGAGCTCCACCGAAGGCCCCAGCGGCCGCGCTCACATGCGTCCCCGCCACCCATCCCGGCACGCCCCTCACAACAACAGGTTTCGTGGCCCCATAGGGAGCTCCACCGAAGGCCCCAGTGCACCGCCCGCATGCGTCACCACCCGCACCCAATTCGGCACACCCCTCACACGTTTCGTGGCCCCATAGAGAGCTGCACCGAAGGCCCCAGTGGCGGCGCTCACATGCGTCCCCGCCACACATCCCAGTACACCCCTCACGCGCTTCGTGGCCCCATAGGGAGCTCCACCGAAGGCCCCAGTAGCGGCGCTTACATGCGTCTCCGCCACCCATCCCGGCCCCCCCCCCGCAGCAGCATCATGTTTCGGGGACCCATAGGGAGCTCCACTGGAGGCCCCAGTGGCGGCCCGCACATGCGTTTCCGCCACCCATGTCGGCACGCCCCGCGCGTGTTTCATGTCCCCATAGGGAGCTTCGCCGAATGCCCCAGTGGCACCCATCTCGGCACACCCCTCACACGTTCCGTAATCCTATGGGGAGTTCCATTGAAGATGAAACCCGCAGCTGCGGTACTGACAACTGCATATAGTTGGGTTCTTCGCCAGGCTAATTATTTTTTCTTCGCCACGGGCTGCCCTCTCGCCTGGCATCGCTCGGACGTGCGCATTCTCCCTTCGGCGAGGACCATCGAGGAGCATCCTTGATCATTTGGCGAAAAAGCCACGCACGAAACCGAAAAAAAACACAAGGAATGGACGTCCGAGCGATGGCGAGCTCGATGTGCACGCGGGGTCCTACGGATGTGGGCCGCTGCGCCGGAGGTCATCTGCCAAGAGCGGGGAATCGCAGCGGGCAGCTGCGCCGCGACCTTTGAGTGCAGTCCGCTCGTGCTTCCGGGCGTGCGCGAGCCTGCGCCGCTTCTCCCCGATGCTGATCTCGGCATCTCCAGAGCTGACTACAACCTCACTGCCATCAATGATGCGAAGGGTGGATGCTCGGAATTCCTCACCTTCGCCTTCCCCCGCTTCCTCTCGATCTTTCAGGACCGCCTTTGCCTTCGGTTCGCCATGCGAAAGTTCGCTGCGGTTGCCAATCACTCCGATCTTCTGGATTGCGCCAAGGAGGGTTTGTATGCTGGCGGTGCGGATCTCGCGATTCGCAGTCTGGGTATTGTTCCCAACCAACCTGTGTTGTTGGGTCCTCGTTTTGAAGAGACGGTCCCCGCGTTCCTTCCTCCTTCCTCCTTCCTCCTCCTTCCTCCTCCTCCCCTTCCTCCCCCCTCCTCCCCCTCCCACACCCATTCTGGCACACCCCTCACACGTTTCGTGGCCCCATAGGGAGCTCCACCGAAGGCCCCAGTGGCTGCGCCCGCATGCGGTTCCACCCCCCATTCTGGCACACCCCTCACACGTTTCGTGGCCCCATAGGGAGCTCCACCGAAGGCCCCAGTGGCTGCGCCCGCATGCGGTTCCACCCCCCATTCTGGCACACCCCTCACACGTTTCGTGGCCCCATAGGGAGCTCCACCGAAGGCCCCAGTGGCTGCGCCCGCATGCGGTTCCACCCCCCATTCTGGCACACCCCTCACACGTTTCGTGGCCCCATAGGGAGCTCCACCGAAGGCCCCAGTGGCTGCGCCCGCATGCGGTTCCACCCCCCATTCTGGCACACCCCTCACACGTTTCGTGGCCCCATAGGGAGCTCCACCGAAGGCCCCAGTGGCTGCGCCCGCATGCGGTTCCACCCCCCATTCTGGCACACCCCTCACACGTTTCGTGGCCCCATAGGGAGCTCCACCGAAGGCCCCAGTGGCTGCGCCCGCATGCGGTTCCACCCCCCATTCTGGCACACCCCTCACACGTTTCGTGGCCCCATAGGGAGCTCCACCGAAGGCCCCAGTGGCTGCGCCCGCATGCGGTTCCACCCCCATTCTGGCACACCCCTCACACGTTTCGTGGCCCCATAGGGAGCTCCACCGAAGGCCCCAGTGGCTGCGCCCGCATGCGGTTCCACCCCCCATTCTGGCACACCCCTCACACGTTTCGTGGCCCCATAGGGAGCTCCACCGAAGGCCCCAGTGGCTGCGCCCGCATGCGGTTCCACCCCCCATTCTGGCACACCCCTCACACGTTTCGTGGCCCCATAGGGAGCTCCACCGAAGGCCCCAGTGGCTGCGCCCGCATGCGGTTCCACCCCCCATTCTGGCACACCCCTCACACGTTTCGTGGCCCCATAGGGAGCTCCACCGAAGGCCCCAGTGGCTGCGCCCGCATGCGGTTCCACCCCCCATTCTGGCACACCCCTCACACGTTTCGTGGCCCCATAGGGAGCTCCACCGAAGGCCCCAGTGGCTGCGCCCGCATGCGGTTCCACCCCCCATTCTGGCACACCCCTCACACGTTTCGTGGCCCCATAGGGAGCTCCACCGAAGGCCCCAGTGGCTGCGCCCGCATGCGGTTCCACCCCCCATTCTGGCACACCCCTCACACGTTTCGTGGCCCCATAGGGAGCTCCACCGAAGGCCCCAGTGGCTGCGCCCGCATGCGGTTCCACCCCCCATTCTGGCACACCCCTCACACGTTTCGTGGCCCCATAGGGAGCTCCACCGAAGGCCCCAGTGGCTGCGCCCGCATGCGGTTCCACCCCCCATTCTGGCACACCCCTCACACGTTTCGTGGCCCCATAGGGAGCTCCACCGAAGGCCCCAGTGGCTGCGCCCGCATGCGGTTCCACCCCCCATTCTGGCACACCCCTCACACGTTTCGTGGCCCCATAGGGAGCTCCACCGAAGGCCCCAGTGGCTGCGCCCGCATGCGGTTCCACCCCCCATTCTGGCACACCCCTCACACGTTTCGTGGCCCCATAGGGAGCTCCACCGAAGGCCCCAGTGGCTGCGCCCGCATGCGGTTCCACCCCCCATTCTGGCACACCCCTCACACGTTTCGTGGCTCCATATGGAGCTCCACCGAGCGCCCCAGTGGCTGCGCTCGCATGCGGTTCCACCCCCCCATTTCGGCACACCCCTCACTCGTTTCGTGGCCCGGGGGGCGCCACCGAAGAATATATCAACAATTGCGGTATTCACAACTACGTATGGTTGGGTCTTTCGTCAGGCTATTTTTTTTGTCCGTGCGGCGCAGATCCAGGGCGGGCAGGGGGGCTGTCCGAGCGAGCGTCGGCGCTGGAAGACTGCGCTAATAAGAGCGCTCAAGATCGCCAGCCCCCTTGCGAAGCTCGCAGCTAAGAAAACCAAGAAGTTTCACGTGGGACTGCCGCCCGTCTCTTCTGGCGCGGAAATTTGGAGGAACTCGCCCGGGTGCATTCGCAGTTTACGTGTCCAACGGGCTCGGAGCTCGGGCCTGTGCCCCCTGGCTGCAACCTGGAGTGTGCTCGGGCTTTGGCCCCCCCCCCCCCCCCCCCCCCCCCCCACATACAAAAAAGGGCCTCTTCAAGAGGGCTTCATTTTCTCATGTCGGGTGCGCTCGTGGGTGGTGGCTCTGGGGCGATGCTAATCTCAGGGCTCCTGATGGGCTGCCTCCAGGACTCCTCAGCAGAGCCCTGCATGGGACTTGACTTGATTTGCGCATGTCGGAGGGCAAAACGTAGAACCAGAGAGCTGTCGGGCCTCTTCACGACGTGCTCCTTGGACTTAGGGGGCGGGTTGGCCACCTCGCTCTGCTGCAGTATGTGTTCGACCGTCAGGTGGCGAGGTCGAGCTCACCTCAGTGGCTCCAGTTCTAATATGTAGTTTGTTTGTCGACGACCCGCGCCGCGCAGCACTCTCCACCGCGATGGATCGGCTCACCCATGGCACTCGCAGTCAAGAGGGCGTGGACGTCGGGAAGCGCCTCTTTTGGAGCGAGCCAGCGAAGCAGCTTATCTCCAGCTCCAAGCCTCCTCCCCTTGCCCCAAAAGTGTTTCGTCAGTCTTACAGTCACTCTTATCCCACGGCCGCCAAATTACATAGGTGGGGTTTTGTCATGAGACTAGCGTGCCATACTTCCAGGGTCGTCTTGATACGGTTTGGCATAGACGTTGGGAGCGTGGCGGTGACGGAGGATTGGCTTAAGGAGGAGACGGTGGAGGAGGGTCTCGTTCAGGAAGCTCTGGTTGTTGGCCTGGACTATTTCCTGTGTGGAAAAATTTGGGTGGCCGCGCCCACTAGTGACTGCCCTGTCAGCGGTCTGGAGGGGCCGATTTGCGTGAATGGTCAGTCGGAAGTCATTGAGCTGTTTTCTTCTTGTTTCAGCTTCGGATCTTTTCGTCGACTGCTCCTGTCTGTTCCCCACCACTGCTGCCCTGTCGAGGGCTGACTGGGGGATTGCGCAAGCCGCGGCGGACGGAGAACTCGGGCCTGGAAAATTTCTGGACGCTCCTATTGATTGCCCACAGTCAGCTTCGAGGGGAGAGCAGTGCGGTGAGCGGCGGGTCAGTGAGCAGTACGACGGACGACGGCTGAACATTTCGCGACGTCTGGCAGCACATGGGGTGCAACACGACTCTGTCATCTTGGACTGGGACGTCCTCAGTGTATCGAGCGGCGATGCTATGAGCCGTTCTTCGGGTGCGACTTGCGGTCCTACTCCTCCTCCTCCTCCTCGCTTCTCCTCCGTCCTTCACCAGAGTTGTTTCATCAGTCTCGAGGAGAGCATCATGGCGTGTTTCGCAGCGTTTCGGGCCTGCGGCAGGACCTCCCGGATCCACAGCGTATTGTTCCAGTTTGTACCGTCCTCGTGATCGGTGCTGCGTCCGGCGTATCGAGCGGGGGTCTAGTTGCGTTTCTCATGAAGCAGGATATATCCAGGCCCCGTTCGTGGTTTTGAAGGTCAAGGCCCACCGCTCCTCAGACAGCCTCTCGCATCCCAGGGCCATTTTCGTTGCCCAGGGGAACTCATGGGCCGACAGACTTGCCAATCTCGGAGCTGCTAGGTATCTCGATCCCAGTGATGAGAAACGGGTGGCCGCTCTACGTAAAGAAGATCGTTATGTGTCATCCAAGCCGCGTCGGTCAGCTTACACGAGTGGCCCATTTCCCGTGACCTGCACGGCCCTTTGGACAGAATCCCCAGAGTTCTGCGAGAAGTCAGCGCCGCCAATCCCACTCGCTTCTCTGGGACGGGCAGCGCTGGAGGTGCCTGCGGTGTGCTAAGAGCTTCCGTGACCCGAGCGAGGCAATCGGGATCTGCGGTGCCGTAACCCCTTCCATGCACGCCCTTGTCAGATGTGCTCGTGCCAGGGAACGTCTTTGGTTTTCCAGGGTTGTATCGAGGGATGGTCCTGTTTTATATTATGACCGTTGCGGATTTTACACAGAAGGAGGAGTTGCCTCCCCTCAGCAGCAAATGATAACTGTCGCCGAAGCAGGTCAGCTTGCTCTGGCGTGGTTTTCTCGCCTGGCCGAAGAAAACCAGGAGATGCTCGCGATGGCCGATTCGGGCCAGCGAGGACTGGTGGGGAGTCTTTTCACTCCCCTGCATATCCATTTGCCCTCACAGGTCGCTCTGTCTGAATGGTTTGTGAGATGTATCGCCGAGGAATGGAGGAGGAGGAGGAGGAGGAGGACGAGGAGGAGGCGGAGGAGGAGAAGGAGGAGGAGGTGGATTTGGAGGAGGAGGAAGAGGAGAAGGAGGGGGGAGTAGGAGGAGGAGGAAGAGGAGGATGAGGAGGAGGATTCAGATGAGGAGGATGAGGACGATGAGGAGGAGTCGGATGAGGAGGAGGAGAAGGAGGATGAGGTGGGTGAGGAGGAGGAGCAGGAGGAGGAGGGGGAGAAAGAGGAGGAGGAGGACGAGGAGAAGAAGGAGGGATGATGATGATGATGATGATGGTGGTGGTGCTGATGATGATGCTGATGATGGTGGTGATGATGACGATGATGATGCTGCTGCCGATGACGATGACGATGATGATGCTGATTGCGATGATGATGACGATACTGATCATGCTGCTGATGATGATGCTGATGATGTTGATTCGGATGATGAGTTGGATGATGACGCTGATGATGACGATGATGACGACGAGGATGATGCTGATGATGCTGATGCTGATGCTGATGATGCTGATGACTACGACGACGATGCTGATGATGGTGATGCTGATGATGATGCTGATGATGGTGATGGTGATGGTGATGATGATGATGATGATGATGATGATGCTGAGGATGACGATGACGATGATGATGTTGCCGCCGCTGATGATGCTAGTGATGATGCTGATTATGATGGTTTGGATGACAATCCGGATGGTGCTGATGATACTGATGACGCTGCTGATGACGATGACGATGACGGTGATGATGACGCTGCTGCTGATGATGATGCTGATGTTGATGCTGATGCTGATGTTGATGCTGATGTTGTTGATGATGCTGATGATGATGATGATGATGATGATGATGACATTGATGATGATGATGATGATGATGATGATGATGATGATGATGATGATGATGATGATGATGATGATGATGATGATGCTGGCGATGATGCTGATGCTGATGATGATGCTGATGATGCTGATGGTGGTGATGCTGCTGATGCTGATGCTGCTGCTGCTGATGATGATGATGATGATGACGATACCGATGCTGCTGCTGATCTTGATGCTGATGATGCTGATGATGATGCTGATAATTCTGCTGTTGAGGCAGATGATGATGGTGCTGCTGATGGTGACGATGATGATGATGATGATGATGATGATGATGATGATGATGATGATGATGATGATGACGACGCTGCTTACGAGGCTGATGATGATGCTGGTGCTGATGCTGTTACTGTTGCGGATGAGGATGATGCTGATGAGGTTGATGATGATGCGTATGATGATACTGAGCATGCTGATGCTGATGCTGACGATGATGGTCTTGATACTAATGGTGATGACGATGATGACGATGCTGCTAATGCTGTGGATGATGATGATGCTGATGCTGATGCTCATGCTGATGATGTTGACGATTGTGATACTGCTGCTGATGCTGATGATGATGTTGATGATGATGATGATGATGAGGATGATGCTGATGATGATGAAGATGATGCTGCTGCTGCTGATGATGATGATGATGCTGATGCTGATGATGATGATGATGATGATGATGATGATGATGATGATGATGATGATGATGCTGATGCTGATGATGATGATGATGCGGCTGATGCTGACGCTGACGCGGAACAGGAACAGGAGCAGGTGGATGCGGAGGAGGATGAGGATACGGATGAGGATGAGGATGCGGATGAGGATGCGGATGATGCTGAGGAGGAGGAGGAGGAGGAGGAGGATGTCGAGGAGGAGGAGGAGGAGCAGGAGGAGGAAGAGGGTGAACAGTAGACTTCCGAAAGGGAGGACGGATTCGGTGTCCGACATTTATACGTTCGCCTCGCCCGCGCCCCCGCAATGCTGCTGCTCACCCAAAGGAGTCGACTTCGAATGCGGTGAAGATGCCGTCGAGTACATACGCATGCGCACGGGCTCGGTGGTCTCGGTCGAGGACCCGTGCAAGGGCTTGCAGCCCATGTGCAAGGTGGCGTCGTCGGCCACGTTCGGCGGTTGGAAGTCGATATCTGGGTCGCCCTGAGCCCACAACTCACACAGCACTGATGCCTCCTTCCGCCCCCCCCCCTCCCTCCCAGGAGGGAGGATCGGGGGAGAAGGGCTGTGGTCGAGTAGGGGATCAGAGTGAGGATGGGGAAGGTGAATCGGATGACGATGTTGCTGCTGCTGCTGATGGTGATGGTAATGCTGATGCTGATGATTATGATGATGATGATGAGGAGGATGACGAGGATGATGAGGATGCTGCTGCTGATGATGATGTGGTGGAGGCGAAGGAAGGGGAGAACGAGGATGATGATGATTTTGGAAATGGTGATGACGCTGCCGCTGCTGCTGCTGTTTCTGTTGCTGGTGATGGTGTTGGTGATCCAAGGTGGCCACGA